TCCAGTTTTGTTTTTTGTTTTGTTGTTTTTCCCTTGAAGTCAAGGATGGGGACAAGCCTGAAGCAGAGCCGAACCCTTTGGTGACCCAGGCTGGAGGGCTGTGTCTACTCTGCTTCAAGAGCAGGGTCAGATTCAAGAATCTCCTGAGCTCCCAGTGACTCATCACCCTGCAGTGGGGAAGTTCTGCTGAGCGGAGACAGGAGTGATGGGTTCTTGTGTTTGCGGGGGGGGGGGGCGGTGGTGACTGTCTAGTTTTCGCTCTGAGAGGCAGCGAGGGTTGTAGTCAGGGGACTGGCTTTTGGAGTCACACAGACCTGGCTTGGCATCCCAACTCGGGCTGGGGCAGCTAACTTAGTCTCTGGAAAATGGAATACTAAGGGTAGAAACTCACGCCTGAGGGCTGTTGAAGATTAAATAAGATACTCCTCAAAGCACTTGGCCCATGGCCTGGCACATAGCAAGCTCTCTACAAATGGTAGCCAACAGGATTATTTATGAGTGTGGCCACGGAAATGAGACCGCTTGTTAAAGATAGACTAGAATGCTCACATTTAAGTCAGAGTTGATTTCTTTAAACTACTCATTTTGGGACGCCACTGGGGATAGCCCGTTAGATGGCTTTCAAGTTTCCATACATTCTTTCAATGTCCTCAGCGGGGGCAATTCATGGGCACCTGGCATGCATCTTAATCAGTTTGGGAGGGTCTGACAAAGCACCCTAGACACAGGGGCTTATGAGCAACAGGAATTTCTATCTCATAGTTCCAGAGGCTGGAAGTCAAAGATGACGGTGTCGGCATAGTTGGGTCCTGGTGAGAACCTTCTCCTGGGTTGCAGACTGCTGACTTGTGTTCTCCCAGGAGAAAGAAGAGACAGCAGGCAAACTCTTAAAAGGGGCAGACCATAGCAGCACGTGGGTTTTCCTAGGAAAACATGTGGCTCATGCACTTGGTCATTTACATATCTTTACCAGCTTCTTGATTGTGAGCTGCTTTAGGAGAGCCATGGTCTTACTCATCCCCATGTGGTAACTTATACTCACGTAGCCTTTCTTGGTTGGCAGAGCACCTGCTGCTTCCCCAAACCCTCACCCCAGTCCTGTACCCCTGCTTTATAGATGAGAAAACGAAGGCTCAGAGAGGTTAAGGGGACTCTTTTTTTTTTTTTTTGAAGATTGATTTGAGAGAGAGGGAACATGAAAGTGAGCAGGGGAGGGGCAGAGGGAGAGAGAGAGGGAGAGAGAGAATCCCAAGCAGACATCTCACTGAGTGCAGAGCCTGACAAGGGGCTCAGTCTCAGGACCCTGAGATCATGACCTGAGCCAAACCCAAGAGTTGGATACTCAACCGACTGTGCCACCCAAGCGCCCCAAAGGGACTCTTTTTTTGTCTTTTGCCTCCACCATAGCTGTGGCTTTGCACCATATCATTTCTATTCTGGGGAGGAATTAAAAAAACATGGGATGCAGTTTTTAAAAACTCCCTTCAGCCCAGTATGGCTGGAGCACACCATTAGGGTGGGTATGGGGATGGAGTTAGAAGAGGGAAGCTGGATGCCCTGATTGGGACCAGACTTGGGAGGGCCCTGAGGGCAATGGCAAGGAGTTGGGTAGGCTTGCTTGGTGATAGCCCAAAGCCAAGGAGAGAGGGGTGGAGCTGGCAACTAGCATTTCAGTTCCAAGTAAGATGTGGTTGCAGAATTTATACAAAGGGTGGTAGTTGCTTAAAAGGACTCCTAAGTCCTTTGTTAAGCAATATCTGTCTTCCTCATCAAAATGGCTGCTCACCACAGCAAAGGAAACAGTTAACAAAACCAAAAGACAACTGACAGAATGGGAGAAGATATTTGCAAACGACATATCAGATAAAGGGCTAGTGTCCAGAATCTATAAAGAACTTAGCAAACTCAACACCCAAAGAACAAATAATCCAATCAAGAAATGGGCAGAAGACATGAACAGACATTTCTGCAAAGAAGACATCCAGATGGCCAACAGACACATGAAAAAGTGCTCCATATCACTGGGCATCAGGGAAATACAAATCAAAACCACAATGAGATACCACCTCACACCAGTCAGAATGGCTAAAATTAACAAGTCAGGAAATGACAGATGCTGGCGAGGATGCGGAGAAAGGGGAACCCTCCTACACTGTTGGTGGGAATGCAAGCTGGTGCAACCACTCTGGAAAACAGCATGGAGGTTCCTCAAAATGTTGAAAATAGAGCTACCCTATGACCCAGCAATTGCACTGCTGGTTATTTACCCTAAAGATACAAACGTAGTGATCCGAAGGGGCACGTGCACCCGAATGTTTATAGCAGCAATGTCTACAATAGCCAAACTATGGAAAGAACCTAGATGTCCATCAACAGACGAATGGATAAAGAAGATGTGGTATATATACACAATGGAATACTATGCAGCCATCAAAAGAAATGAAATCTTGCCATTTGTGACGATGTGGATGGAACTAGAGGGTATCATGCTTAGCGAAATAAGTCAATCGGAGAAAGACAACTATCATATGATCTCCCTGATAGGAGGGAGAGGAGATACAACATAGGGGGTTAAGGGGGTGGGAGAAGAGTAAATGAAGCAAGATGGGATTGGGGAGACAAACCATAAGTGACTCTTAATCTCACAAAACAAACTGAGGGTTGCTGGTGGGAGGGGGGTTGGGGGGGTGGGGTTATGGACATTGGGGAGGGTATGTGCTATGGTGAGTGCTGTGAAGTGTGTAAACCTGGCGATTCACAGACCTGTACCCCTGGGGAAAAAAATATATGTTTATAAAAAATAAAATTAAAAAAAAATGGCTGCTCACCAAAGTTGGACTTGAACTTCTTACTCAGTTACTCATCAAACACTAGGAACTGTACTAAGGTGAGGGTACAGAGATGCATAAGACCTGTTGTAAAGTTGATTAAATATGTGGAAATTCTGTAAAGAAGAGGTACATGATGCCATGATAACAAAATATCAAGAGCACCTACTCTAGTTGGGGGGGCAGTCAGTGAAGGTTTCGTGGAGGAAGTAATATTTAAGCTGAAACTTAAAGGATGGATAGCATTTAGCCTGGAGAATTGGCTGAGCCTTCTGAGTAGAAGAAATAGAGTGTGCAAAAGTCCTGAGGTGAAAAAAACTTGGCTTGTTGGAAAGGTAGGGAGGAGGACACAACTCTAAAAAAGTAGCCCTCTTTGTCCCAATTTCTCCCCCTTGGCACCAGAGTACCCGGCCCTTTGGGACAAGGGACTGTTTTGGCAGCCCTTGTGACCACCGAGCAAAATTGTCTATCTTGGGGCACCTGGATGGCTCAGTTGGTGGAGCATGCGACTCTTGATCTTGGGGTCATGAGTTCAAGCCCCATGTTGATGTAGAGCTTACTTAAAAAAAGAATAAAGTAACCTTAAAAAAATGGCCAATCCGAAGAGTCCTTAGGTGGTTGAGTGGGAAAGCCTTGGGGTCAGAGTCTGCTGTAGCTGTTGGAGGGGCTCAGACAGCAGCTGGGAGAGGCCTAGAGAATGAAGAAGAGGGTGAACTTGGGAATTCTGGCTTTATTCTTTTTGGGAAAGGGTAAGAGCCTTGCACATAGGTGGATGACTCAAGCTGGCGAGTGGTCTGAGTGAAGGGAAGGACCCTTGCCCAAACACTCAAAGAGCATCTCCCAAGAGTCTGGAGCTTGGGAACCCCAGCGTTGTCCCATTCCATTCCCCCTTGGGACCTTTATTCATTTAACCAGTATTTCCTGAGTACCCACTGTGACCCTAGACCTCTACTGGGTGTAGGGATAGATCAGGTCTAGTCTTCCCAAGGAGGAAACAAGCTCAGATAGAAATAATTATCATAGGGGATAAAATAGTACCTAGCCTAGACTTCTCATCTGTAAAATGGGGACACTAATAATAGAATCTACTCCAAAGTGTTGATGCATGAGTAAAGTGCTTATCACGGTGCCTGGAACAGAGTAATGGTTGGTAGAGAGAGTGCCTGGAACACAGTAATGGTTAGTAGAGAGAATGTTCTGGGAAGGATAGGAACCCAAAAAGGAGGATGGCTCTGGGCCTCGGCTGGTCAGGTTAGGGCAGGGGTGTGGGAGGTGCCCCCCTTTTCCCTGTGCTCCTATAGCAGCTGGAGTGATTCTTAGGTCTCCTTTTTGTTCTTCTGACCACAGGGTCTTTGCACATGTGGTTCCGTTGTCTAGAATGCCCTTTACTTATTTCTTCACAAACTTAGTTCCTCTCCAGACTTCACATGCTCACCGCTGAGTTTTGTTGGCCCCCCCACAGGAATGCTTTGCCTTGCTTTCCTTCCTTTTGTCTTCTGTAGTGTGATCTCAGGACTAGCTGTAAACCCCAGGAGGTAGGCTCCCTATCTCGGTTTGTGTGCTAATGAATGGATCCCCAATAGTACCCAGCTCTTATATTCAACATCCCAAAATATCTGTTGAGCAAATGAATAGGGTGCAGGAAAATCATTTACAGAGTACCTACTGTGCCTGGCGCCGAGCTGAGTTTTTTACTAGGGTCATCTTAATCTCCACAACAACCTTCTGAGTGTGGTGGTGCGATGATCCGCATTTTACAGTGGAGGAAAATGAGCTTGAGAGAGATTAATTGACTTGCCCAAGGTCACTCTCTGTTCGTTAGAGTAGAAGCGAGACCTGGGATTCACATCCAGGTCCTTCAGACTCCAAAGCGGCAAGGGGTGAGGAGGTGACTCCCAGCGGGGGTCGGGGTGCACCCGAGCCCGCGGAGCAGGAGCATACCTAGGGAGGAGTGGGAAGCTTCTCCGGCCCAGCTCCAAGCCCGTGGTGCAGCGTCCGCCCCCGGTCGCGGGCGCAGACTGGCGGCCGCCTCCGGGCCACGTGGTGCGCGCGGCGGGCGCGTCCAAGGATCCCGCAGCGGCTCGGGCTCAGAGCGCTCGGGGCGAGGAGAGCAGCCGGGCGCTGGGGGGGGCCGGCGGCCAGGCGCGCGGAGGGGACTCGGGGCCGACCGGGCGGCCGGGGCACTGCAGTCCGTGGCGTCGGGGCCGCGCGGCCCTAGTCCTCGCGCGTCGCTCGCACCGGTTCTCTGCGCCCAGGGCGCACGGCGGGGAGGGACGCGGCACCCGCTGCCCGGCCGCCATGGAGCCGGCCCCCTCCGCCGACGCCGTGCTGCAGCCCCTGCTCCTCGCCAACGCTTCGGACGCCTTCCCCAGCGCCTTCCCCAGCGCCAATGCGTCGGGGCCGCCGGCCACCCGGAGCGCCTCGTCCCTCGCCCTGGCCATCGCCATCACCGCGCTCTACTCGGCCGTGTGCGCTGTGGGGCTGCTGGGCAACGTGCTGGTCATGTTCGGCATCGTACGGTGAGTCTGCTGCGGCCTGCTAACCCCCCGACTCCCCACCCCGGGTGAGAGTGGGGACTGCGTACCGGGGTCCCTGACCTCGGACCCGGGGCTCCCCGCGCCTCCACACTTCCTGCAGGGGGAGCCCGGGGCCCAGCGAGGAGACCACTTCCATTGAGAGAAGGACGCTGGAGAGATTGAGAGAGAGAGAGAGAGTGTGAGTGACTGTGTGTGTGTGTGTGTGTGTGTGTGTGTGTGTGTGTCTAAATAACATTTGATCGTTCGTTCACATTCCCTTGCTTTTGCGGGAGGCTATGTGGGATAGTTTGGCGACAGTTAGTTTCTCACAGTGGGTGATTCTGTGTTGGGGACAGTACACAGGAATTGAGGGTTTGGACCTCTACAAGCCTCCTGGGAGGGGGGCCTCAGGGGAGCCAGCTGTCCGTGCAGGTGTGGGGATGGGAGAAGGCTGGCGGGTCCGCACCACTCTGTGGACACATTGACCAAGTCCCAGTTGGGTTCTTATGGCTCTTAGGGTTCCTATGTTGGTGTGTGCTTATCCCACGCCGTCAGTTGGTGATACTCTCTGTATGAGACTGTGACTATGTGACCGTGTTGTTTTTTGTCAAGTCCCTGAAACCCGTGGGGGAGGAGAGCACCGGAGTGGCTTTGGAACCTTCTGTTTGTGCACCTGTGTGCGCATTCGCCGAGGAGGAGCCCGTCGCTCCTGCATACGGTGGGCAAGGGCTATGGGCCAGCCAGTCCCTCCCCTGCTTCCGTCCTCAGTGGCCTTCTGGCCTGGAGCCCTGGGTGTGATTCAGCCAAGTCTCACCCCCTCACAGATGCCCCATCTCACTCTCTCCTCTTCCCTGACAGGTTTTTCTTTCTGCTGGAGGCAGCACTGGTTTGTCTAGACGGGAGTGGGGTTTGTGCTTTTCACCTCAGGAAGCGAAATTCTCTTCTCTGATATCGATGTAGAGTGCCGGGACTTTCTCAGACAATCTAAAACATCATCAGCTTGCCCGGAAGCAGCCTCCTGACCCAGTTCTGCCAGCTCAGACATGGGCAAAAAGGATCGAAAGGAAACTCCTAGCCTTATAACAACAAAGATGCCCTTGTGTTTACTGACACTTGGAAATGGGTCATCCATGCAGGTTGACTGAGGGCAGAGCCCTAAACCCCTCTCTGGGCTGTGGTGCCACCCAGCAGGGCGGAGGGCAGACGGTGGACTCCAAGGTTGGACTTAGATATGAAACTGTGGTCTCAGCTCAGTCACTGATGCCCATCACAGTGGGCACACCAGGCCCCTGTCCCACCATCCACCTCATCTGTCTGTTTCCCTGTCTGAAGAATAGAGACCCAGTCTCCTCAGGTGGGAGTCTGAACTCCAGAGTCTGGGGTCTCTGCAGGAGAGAGTGTTGTGCCCTGAAGCCCTGGATGAGTGTGGGGGTATTGAGGGAGCATTGGCACCGTTGCCCGCCCAGGATGAGTGGAGGACACAGGATTTCCTGTGCTTTCAGTGGCTTATTACCAGCTATGGTGGGAAGATTCCCCTAAGCACAGGCAGGATGAATCTTTGCAGTGTGTTTTGTCACTGATTCTCCCTACTTTGTCTTTGGAGGTAGTACAGGCTTTAGAGTGGGGCCAACCTGAGTATGAATTCCAGTGACTTGGGTGCATAACTTACTCTTTTGAGCCTCAGTTTGTTTATCTATAGAATGGGGTAACAATCGAACCTTCTTCAGCAGGGTTTTTGTAAAGTGTCAGGGAACAAACATATAAAATGCAGCTGGCCTGGTGCCTGGACCCAGTAAATGGAAGGTGTCTGTGTTATGACGAGAAGGAATTTTCCAGATCCCTTAGAATCTAGTGCCTTTTAAAGAAGGGAGGGTGAAAGAGGCACTTGTCCTAAGGTGGGCCTGAGGATAGCTAAGAGTCCGAGTTGCAGGTTCTGCGCATGTGCCCTCTCTGGGGAGCTCTAGGTGCTGAAGAATGGGGAGAGCTGTGTCAGTGTGTTCTGTCCCGTTCCCAGCTCTTCTCCCGGGACTCTGGCTTTTGGGCTGATGAGCACAGCTCCCCCACTCCCAGTGAGCCAGGGAAAGGCCCCTCACTTCTGACAGTCCACTTGGGGAATGCTCTGGGCTCTGTTTGCTAGGGCTGCTTCCAGCCAACCTTCCCCAAATTCCATTGTTAAATGCATCTTGCAAGCAGCAGAGCTAGCCCCCATAGGTCTCCATGTTGCTAAGACGTTTCCCGAGCCAATCGTGTACGTGATAACTGTCTCTCTGGGTCTGAATGATTTAATCCTCACCTATAACCCGGTGGGATAAGCATTAGCATCCTCAATATGATCACCTCCATTTTGCAGCTATGGAATCTGTGGTTCAGAGAGAGGCAGGATGACTTGTTTTCCAGAGGGCCCACAGCTAGCTCCAGACCTGGAGCTAAAACCCTGTTTTTAGGACTTCAAGTCTAGAACTTTTTCAAGAGCTGCCTGAGGTAGGGGAGAGTCAAAGAATTGCATGGAAGGAGGGAGCAAAATTCTGTGCTTCCTTGTGTCTCAGGTCATCTGAGAACAATGGAAACAAAAGGATTGTGAAGCTACACATTATTTGGCCTAAGTATTTTAGGCTGCTGTCCTGGGGGGAGGACTAATGATGGGGCTGGCACTTAACTCTTGTATCCTGACAGTGAGGCTAAGGGTAGGGCTGCTGCCTGGTGCTCTGCTTCTGCTGGCAAAGTCCCAAGAGCAGTGGAAGGAGGGCAGCCCAGGATGGAGGGAAGCCCCTGATCTGTCTGGTTTCCTGGCACCCCATGCAGGGCTTGGCACAGCCCCATGCCAAGCTTGGTAAGTGAGTCACTTGACTGGTTGAACGAATGTACGGTTGAAAGAATGAATTCTGCTTTTCAGTCCTGAGCTTGGGCAGTTGGGGGGCAGGGGCAGGTTTCCAAGGGAAGATCCAGAGAAACCCTTGGGTTGGGAAAGCAGGGTAGTGTGTGGTGGCAGAGGTCAGGCTCTGGAGCCAGACTTATCTAGGTTCCGATCCTGAGTTCAAAGCCACTTACTTGCTGTGTGTTTGGGTTAGTGACTTCACCTCTCTGAAACTCATTTCTTCCCTTGTAAAGTGGGAAGAGCAACAACGTGTCCGAGGCTGAGGTGAGGATCGGAAGGGTTGCAGCTGAGCCATTTACTTCCTCTGAGAAAAAGGATTGGCACTCTGTGAAGGAATGAAAAGAATGAACTCATTCAAGAAAATTCTATGGATACACTGGGTTAGATGCTGAGGTACAGTGGTGAGGAAAAAAATACACTATCTCCGCCCTCATGGTGGGAGAAATGACAATCATCAGCTAGTCATCCAACAAACTTAAATTTGTGCTGAGGGAAATGGAAGAGTAGGTGGATGCTTGGGGAGCCCACAGTGTGTGTGTGGGGGGTCTCACTTGGTCAGGGAGCTCCAAGAAGACTTCTGAGGAGCTGCAGGATGAGGAGTGGGTAGCTCAGTAAGAAGCTGAGGGAAGAGCCTCTGACGAGAAGCCTAACACAGATGAGGGGCTGAGAAAAAAGAACCTCAGAATCCCCCATCGTGAGGCACCCTTCATTCCTGCCTCCCCCACACTCCAGCCCTCTACCTACTTCATGGACCCTCTTGAGGAGCCCACTCATCCTTCTGGATGCATGAGAGGGGCCTCTGGGAATTGTGCTTTTAGCGAACAGCCCCTGGTCCCCAAGGCTTCTGTGAATCTGTGAAGTATGAGCAGGATTTGGGGGACATCTGGTCCCCAGGCAGAGTGTCACCACTTAGTCCCACAGTGTGAGTTCAGCCAGCCGTGCGTTCACCACAGCAGTGACCCTGTGGGTCCTCAGAGCAGATGCCTAACAAGCCCTCCTTCTGGGTGTCAGTGCCCTGAGAAGGGCTGGCATCTCAGAGTTCTCATTGGTGGTCCACTGGGTAGGGCAGAGTGTGGAGGGCTTAGCAGACCTCCATCTCTGACAGGTGACCCCGTATATCTTCCCTCTGCATGGCCCAGGACTTCCTGGTTTTCCTGCCCCAGAATCCAGGTAGGAGAACAGAGTCGATGCTTTTCTGCATGGCCTCCTGTCTGTTCCGTAGCCTGCCCTGTCTCCCTGCCCACACCTCTCCCTTTCCTGGTTTCAGCAGGCTCATACCCTGCTGTGTCTCCGACCCTCCTTCCCTCCCCCACCTGCTCCCTGCCTGTAACTGGCCTCAGCCTGCCTCTTCTTGACTGTTTCAGGCCCTGTGCTTCTCTGCCCCTCAGTCTCTCCCTTGGCCCCTCTCTCTTCTGACTTCTCCTCGGATTAGGTGTGGGCTCTGCTACCTCCCAAGGTCTTTAGTGAGCTGGACTGCCACCCTGCACCTCGGTTTCTTCATTTATAAAGTGTGGATCAGAGTACCTGCCTCAGACACGTGTGACAGGACGACATTGGTCAAACAGCACGTTTTCCCTCCCATCGCAAGCCCCTCCCTCACAGGCCGGGAGGGGAGGCTGGGCCGCGCAGCCTGGTCTGGGCTGGGGTCATGGCAGATGAATGAGGAGCTCTGGCTGTCCCCTCCCTCTACTACTGGGGTGCCAGGGGTTGCTGGGACAGGTGCTCAGGGGTTAACTTTGCAGGATTGGGAGCTCCGGGTCCCCACCATTTTTCTTTGGAGGCCCAGACCGAGCCCCTTGGCTTCTTGCCTTCCTCCCCTCTCTTATCTGGGTTGGAGTCCACGGACCCAGGGTCCCCAGGCCTGGGGAGATAGAGAGATGCCAGGTCTTAACCTCAGCTCGACCACATCCCGGCGGCGGGCCCTGGGGCGAACGGCTTGCCCTCCCTGAGCCTCATGTCTGCCTCTGTCACATCGGGGTGATCAGGGTAGATTTGGGAGAGGGTTAGAGGAACTCGTGTGTGTAAAGTCTGCACCACAGCACCCAGCACCTAGTAGGCCCTCGGGTGTGCCAGGTGCCGTGACGAATCAGCACCCTGCTTCTGTGCCGGGAGGCAGTGCAGCGCCCCT